AAATTTTTTTTTTGTTTAATAATTTTTTTTTTTTTTTTTTTTTTTTTTTATTTTTTGTTTAAATTTTTTATTTTTTAAAAACACCCCCCCCCCCCCCCCCCCCCCCCCCCTTTTATAGAAAATAGCCGCTTTCAACATACGATTCCTTGGAAAAATTCGAATTACCAAATGTATAAATCGATAGAGACAAACCGCTATCGGAACGTCAAATATACTGATGCTGCTACTGCCTTTTTTTATTTTTTTTTAATAAAAAGCTGAAATTTGAATAAAATAATTTATCGAAATATATATCTTATAAAACTTTTTTTCTCTTTCATTCTTGTATATTTTACCACAATACAATTTAAAGATTTAGAAAACGTCAAGGTCTTCTACTAATTTATATAAAATCATTATTACTAACTATTCATCTTAAAATTTTATTTCTTCGTTATAATTTTCGATTCCTTCTTAAGTAATTAGTCCTAATGAATGTTATTTTCAATTCCAATACTTTATGCATCTCGAGCATTCAGAGGAATACCATTTTAAAAAAGAATTCTTGAAAAAATAAATTGCTACCTGAAAATTGATTAATCGAATTAGTAATGAATTCAAAAAGTATACTATCATTTCCAATAAAATACATTCAATAGAGATAGAAATACAATATAATGAGAGAAATGATACAGCAAAAAGTAATTCTTGTGGCAAAAATCAGGCCGAAACTATGGAGAATTTAATAAAGTTACAATTGGAAATGTTTCTCACTAAAGACATTATTTTAAGAAATATTAAGCAAAATCAATTATAAGATTTCCGGATAAATAGGAATTTGTGAGTTTATTCTGATCAAAAATTCAAATAATCTAAAATTAGATATTAAACAGCCACAAATCAAGAAAGCACCGCCATTAGGAAATAACTTTATCTCGAAGCCAACTTCAGAAAGGTTAATATAAACCAATTATATTAAATAGTTTATTTCTTAACTTATAAATAAGATTTAAAATACAAATCATTATTTCCCTTCGAAGGAAAATCTGTAATTTCTGTAATAATATTATTCTTGATTTGATTAATCTCCTGTTGAGTAAATTCAAGATATTTATTCAAATAATTTTCTACATCTCCATAAATATTCACAAATTCATGTAATGTTAGTATCATTGATTCATATCTAAAAATTTAACAGAATTTCAAGGGTGAATTCGATTTGATATAAAAAATAACTTTTTATAAGATTGCATATGTAATTTACTTACTTCGCACCCATCATTCTTCTAATTTGATCCATAGTAAAAAAACCTTTACATATCTCGTAATAATCTTTAATCACTACCTCATTTTCTATGAATTATCGATAATTTTCAAATATTAAAATTAATTCAACAAACTATCAAAAAAAATTTTCACTTTTTGTTACTTACGCGAATTCCTATCAGTAATTTCATATTCTCTAGCAATAATATCGTCATTAACACCACATAATTTTAATACCAACATACAAAATATATCATTTCCATCTTTACCAGCGGTGCATTGAATAATAAATGGCTTTTTTGGATGTTTTAATATATGCTGGAATACTGCTTTATAAGCTGATCTACCTTCATCCAACATGATCATATAAGCTATAAAAATATATTTATATAAATTTGGAAATTAATACAACTTTTCCCCACCATTCAATATGTAAATTTCAGCATACCTTTGGAATGACCATAATCTTGATCGTATAATGACCATTTCTCAAATAACGCTTCTCGTGAGTCAGCATCCTTAAAAACTGGAACATGTATTCTATTCACTCCTGGTATGTCACTATATTTCATATTAAAATTAATTTTTAAAAATATTTTATAAATTACATAGAATACTTACACAAAACCAATCGTTTGAACTTCAATATTTGATCGAAAATCAAACACAACGTGTAAGTTAAGCAAGCGTAAAGTATTTATTCCCTTTTCGGTGATTCTAGTTAAACTATCACCAAAAAAAGTTAAAACAATAAAAACTTGTCGTCGTTTAAAATTTATACAAAAATTTTCTTACTCTCCACTTCTAAAAATAAACCTTTTCCGAACATAACGCTGCTTCAAATTCCTGCCACTGATGTTGCAAGGGTAACCACCTAAATCTCTAAAATTCGTCACACCATCGACATCTAGATATTTTGGTATTCTAGACATAAATCTATTTCTCTCAAAAAATCTTTTAGATTGGAATTCATTTGAAAAATATTCTGTTATTGACGAAATCAATTCATTAGAGTGATTGGTATATGCGTGATTTGCACCCATGATGATTTTTAACGTATTATTGGGGATTATATTGTAGAACGTAGCTGCATTATCCGGTGATGTGAACTATAATTGTGCAATAGATCAATATAAAATCAGAGCATGTCTTCCTTACTCGTAAATAAATTTACTTTTATCTTACTTCGTCATCTGACCCATGAGTTATAAATACTGATGTAGATTCCGGTAAATTATGTACTATAAAGACGAGTCGTTTAGTTTAAAATATTAAAAAAATAACTCTCTTTCACTTCCTCCTCCGAAACACTCACCAAAAGACATATCGGTAGAAATAAATTTCAAAAAACTATCATAAGTTGTTATAATTCTCTTAATTTGACCATCAAATTTATGTTCATCAACTTTGAAACCATCGTTTTTAAATTTTTTCATATACTCTTTTGGGTAAAATTTTAATAAAATATTAAAATGATATCTTGCTGATATTGCTACTAGGTGTGGAACGTTTCGATTCACGTTTGTTGCATATTGATATGATGAAATATTTCCTATGCGAAAGAAAGAATTGCTTTTAATTTTTTTAAAAAATAAAATAAAACAAAATAAATAAGTCAAGAAGGCAAAATATAAAAAAAAACTTTTGAAGATTCGACACCTAAAGAGTGACTTATGATGGCGTATAATTGATATCCGTACTCTCTTTCTAAATATTTTACTACTGTATCAATATCTTCAATTTCATTCTAACATAATGATTGGTTAAATGTCAAAGATTTCAATTAATGAAATATAACAATTTAATTCACATAAAATGCGAAAAAAAGTTCTTTAATTTACCTTGACATTACCATAATCGATAGAAATAAAATCACTTTCACCACTTCCTCTGAAATCAAAACGATATGAATCGAATGGTAATTTTTTTGCTAATTCCGGTTGAAAACTGAAATTTTTATGAGCTATGATTCATTAAAGCGCGTCGACCAAATTTTAAAAGTAAAGGAAAAATTACATTTCAAAGATTTTACAAGTAAGATAGATAGATACCTTGGGCTCCATGGCAAATAATTCCAACCTTTGTACCTTTCGTACTTTTATTTGGTGATTTACGTTCCAGTATACCAATAATAGTCTGTCCTTTATCATTTTTTATATATATTCTTTTCACAAATTCACTATCCTTACGCGTACTCATTTTTTTTATGATATTTATGATAGGATGGTTTAATTTTTTTTTAGTGGTTTTTTACCCATAAAAATTCGTGGAACCGTCCTAAAATTATGTAACACAAAAAGAATATTAATTTAAGATTTGGATTCAATATTTAAATTTTATTTATTTAGGTTACGCGGATTGATAAGTAGTTGTACGTCATTCATTGACATTGAATTCTTTCTTATAGGATCATTCGGATATTTACAAAACGACAAAATTTGCGAAGTCATGGGGCGAAGTGACTCTGCCAAGACTGGGTTCAGACAACTTGAAAGCATGGCTTATTCCATTATCCATCCGTAAAATTGACTAAACCGTAAAAAGCTGATGCTATAACTCTCCCTCCCTGAAAATCCACATAAAAGGCTTAGTTATGTGTCAATATTGAATAAAAAGAAAACAAAATAAGTCGGTTGTTTATGTTACACGTTTTTTAAAGCTCTTGATTTATTTAAAAAATGCTTTTAAATACTTTAAAAATGAAATTCCTTATAAATATATCTAGCATTTATCTAAGTTATTTTTGGAATTGTATCGAGCCGAAAATTTCTTCCTTTTTATATTGATTCGGATATCGCTTAAAATATAATATTTAATTTTTTTTTCTTTTCTTTTTATAAAATATTTTTGTTAAAAAAAAAATATCAAAAATAGTCGAAAGGTAACTATTTATTCGTTTCGATTACTTAATTACAATGAGAAATTTTCTTAAATTTACAATTTTTGACATATAGCATTCATTCATTCCGTATCAGGAAATTTTTTTTTTGCCTCATTTTTAACGAAAATTTTTAAGTCGTACATCCGTAAAAATCACTTTCCCAGCTCTTTTTTTTTAAAAAAAAGCAATGACTCGAGCTCGATATATTTCGATATTATTTCTGATAATAATAAATCAAATACTATTGTTAAAAGTAAATTCCATACATTTAAATCCTTCTCATAGTGATGATTGGATGCATCATATTAATAAACGAGATGCACAAGTAAACACACCAATATTAGTACCAGTTAATAGTAATTTAACTGGAACCGAGCAGTTAAAATGTAACGGCGATGCAAGATTATGCAACCTAAGATACGATCAAGTGGTAAGCCAAATTTACCCTTTAAGAAAACGTTTTATTTTCATTCTAGAAAGACTGATTTTGGATTTCTTCTGTTGTTTAGACTTATGCTGGAACGCATAATAGTGCCTCGTATGATTTACGATTTGATTGTAATCAAACCATCAGGAATTGTTTGGATTCGGCAAGTATGTGCAGCAAACAGTTTGCACAATGTGTAGCAACATATGGCATGCAATGTGATGCACATACCAATACTTGCAAGCAATGGAATCCAGCATGGTTACATTGGTTATGTAATGGATTTGATAAAGCGTGTAAATCTTCCAATGGTTTATGTGCGGCATGGAATGCCATTTGTACTGAGAGTGGTAAAGTATGCAACGTTTGGGGTGATGCTTGTGAAACTCACGTGCCCGATTGGGCCATCACTTGCTTTTGGGAAAATAATCCTGGTTATCCTGTTTCAAGACAACTTAGTGATGGTGAGTTTTTTTTTAATTACAAATTAGAGGGTGAAAAAATTTTTTTCTTTTAATTCTTTTAAAATTCGTGTATAAAAAGCATAATTTAAAAATTCATTTAGGGATAAGATTGTTTGATTTTGATACGTGTCTTGTGAATAATGAACGTGCCGTTCTTTGTCATGGGAGCGATTTAACAAGGGCCTTAGGATCCGAATTGGATCCTATATTTCAAACAATTCTAAATTTCATGAACGAAAATCCTAATGAAGTAATCTCGATAGAATTTGGTGATACGGATGGGGATCCCGCAAAGCTTGGTGTGTACATTCAATCCAAGTTGTCGCAATATTTTATCAACGAAACGGGACATTCGATGATGTATTCAAAGACGGACCCTGAGAGTCCATGGCCCACGTTACGTGAGATGATAATGAATAATACTCGAATAGTAGTTTACTTTGGTAGATTGTATTTTAATTTACAAGAGAGGCAACCTTGGATACAAAATACTGGTTCCTGGTTTACTGATTCATATACTTACACTTCTAATGACATGACCGCCCAACAGCTCGAGAAGAGCTTTTCCGATTGGTGTACTGCTTCTGATGTTGTTATCTTACAAGAACAACAAAGTTTTGGAAAAGCCAAATGGCAAACAATTGATGGAACGTAAGTTACCCTGATGTAAAAAAGTTTTGTAAATTTTTTTTTTTAAAAGAAAAAAAAGCTTATCTTCCCTTCTTTATAAATCACAGTATAGCATTAATATTATCCGAGATAAAGGATGATTTGAAAAATGGGAAGCATTCAGGTCGTTTATGTTTGGATGAATTAGCATTATCAGTAAACTTTAATGTACTGGAATATATCGCAACATTATGTTATCCTAGATTTCCTTACTTTTTTAGAGTAAGGATTGATCATTATTGGCAAAGTAGTTTATTCACGGTTGTTCAAAGGATGAATGAACGAAATATTCAAAGATTCTCAAACGCCACACTCAATAACACTCCATAACACTAATAATAATAATAATTAGGTTGCAATATTTAAATTTCTTGCAATTTTTATATATATATATATATATATATTCAACGTGTACATTTTCTTTGAATTCAAGAATTGTACATTAATTTTGTATAATTGACCAAAAAAAAAAAATAGTAATCATAGTTAATAAAAATTCCTTTCCTTTTGTATCAATTAAAGTTCTATTATGTTCGGAATGAAGTATGTAATTTCAAAAAAAGGTAATATAATATACATTTTTCTTTTATAATTTAAATAAAAAAAAAAAAAATTTTTTTTTCTTTTAAATAAATCATTAAAAACATTATTTAAATAAGGTTAATAGTCTACTTGAAATTCTTTTCAAGGTTAAGAGTTTCAAAGAACCCTGTTGTATCTAATCAAGATTACCCTCGGAAGCTGCACCAGCAAATCATCCTGATACAAGTTCGACTTTAAGATCATTCTAGAACATCTTGATGCTAATCTTTGATCTTTTGATATTCATCAACAAAATATTCTTTCCTATTATCATTCAAAAAGCTACATATAAAACAATAAAATTTAATTTTAAACATCCTAAATCTGATTAAAATTATAAAGATAAAATTTTCTTTACTTTAGGAAACCTGTTAAGTGTTCTTTCAGGATGCCCAGTGTGTCTTCCGCAAGATTCATGCCTGAAATCAACTGTGGAAAGGATACTAAATGAATGAAACAAAAAATCATCAGAATAATTTGTCTTCCATCAGTCACTAAATCCAATCGCTAATTTTAATAAAATTACCAAACAATCTTAATAGATGCTCTGCTCCATATATTTGAGAATTTTGTAAGCGTTCAAATTTATACCGCATTTCACGATATTGCTTCCTTTCCGATTGATATAACAAACGTGATCCCAAACATTTATTAAAGTAAAAAAGCACTCCAGTAATAATCTCATCCGCGATTCCGTCGTCACTACAACAAGAAATGAATAAACCTGTTTATTTTTTTCAAAAAAATATCATCAATTAATATCAATACTCACGTTTCTTGACCCCCCTTTTTCTTGGTTCGAGATATTCTATAGTGTTCTATAATGTCCGACACAGTAGGTTTGCGTGGTAAAGGTACAAACTAAATTAACAAAAGATAATTCGTTATTAGGTCGTCATAAAAAGAAAACTTTAAAAGGAGATTTAATTACCAATGACGATTTATTAACATTTTCCCAATCCTGTACCAATATCGCACGAAGTGGTTCAGGAACAGGAATATAAATCTTTGGTTTCTTGATGCTTTCATCCTTTTGAATTTATTAAAAAAAATTTGAATTGAAATCTACAACTTCAAAAGCTTACGCAATCTTAAAGTAAATGACCCACCTTATCCAATAAAGTATCCCTTCGTCTTTTCTTTCCTTTTTCAATTGTAGTTTCTTGAACAGTTTTTTTAATCGTTGACCTTCCCTTTTTATTTAATGATTCTTCAATTTGTTTTTGTTTAGTTAAATTCGTTTCATTAAATTTTAAAACTCGAGATTCTGCAACCCATTCATCCCATCTACGTAAAAAAAGAAAAAATTGAATGTTAAAGGGATAAAAAAAATTTTTTTTTTTTTTAAAAAAAAAAGAAAAAAGTATTTATTATTATTAATAGATCTCACGTATTTTTCCATCCTTTGTAATGTATTAGATAGTGTGGACCTGTTAAATTGGATTTTGGATGTTTATTTTCAAAGTATTCAAAATCCAAGATCTAAAAAGAGATATAAAAATATCCGGTAGGGTGGTGGTTGGTATAAGGGGAAAAAAAAAAAATTTTTTTTTACATCCCATATACGTACTTTTGCTTCGTAGATCATGGGTCCGTGATAACAAAGGATTTTTTCATTTTGTTGGTAAAGAAACTCTTTATTCTGTGTCATGTTCGATATGAAAAGAGAGTAATATAAATAAACTGAATAGAGAAAGGCCAATTAATTTTCTGGGAATGTTCAAATATTTTTATATTCCACAAATTACTATTTTAAGTTAATCCAAGAACATTCCAATGCTAAAAAGGGTAAATTAAAAAATGATCGATCAATAATAAAAATAAAGTTTAAATTAGTCGATTATGCATTTCGAGTTTTTCATGGAACCCACATATCTTCACGAATTCGTCTAGTTACAACGGCCGCATTGTCTTTTCAAAGAATTCAACAACATAATATTAATTTTAAGCAGGCGGGCGTTGGCTTAAGCTCTGATGGGCTGTGGTTTTTTAACCATTTTTCCAAATAGAGTGATTTTGCTTCCATTGAAAAAGCCTAACTTAAATTGTAAAAATGTTTAGCCGGCCGGCTAAGCCGCCTTGACAAATTCAACCAATTTTAATTAGATGTGTTTCTTTTCTTTTTTTTTATACAATTTTTCGGACTCGGTTTTGGCATAACCGAGTTGTAATTAGTTTGGCTGAGTCGGCGTGGCGATCAACATTATTATTATAAAAATGGTTTTTTTTTTTTGTAAATTTTTTTTTTTTTTTAAAAAAATCAATTTTTTTTTTTTTTTAATCGACATTTCAAATTTCCCCTATTTTTGTCAATTGTATTTATAACTTTTAAAATTTTTTTTTATTGCTCTTTCAAACGATGAATTCTATAAATCTTGGGCTCTCAGTGGTTAAGGAATTACCGTCAGGTAATTCGACGCTGGATAATTCAACAGGTAAGAACTAAAACCATTCAATTCATTAAAAGGGTCATAATCGATGATAACTAACTTTTTTAAATTTTTTTTTTTTTTAAAAAAAAAGCAAGTTCGATTAATTCTAGCGACTTGGATAGTGAGTATAGTGAATCTACCGTCACAGAAGTGTCACCAAAAACTCGTAAATACATGTATGAATCGGATTCCTCAATTGGGTCAACATACTCTCATGAATTTATGTACGAATCGGACACATCAACTGATACGGAACAAGACATGCTGCAACGAAATTCTGTGCATGAAGTAATGGATGATTCCGAAGAGAGTGAATACGATGAATTATTATCGTCTCGACACGACGAAGAAAACTCATCTTTACATATTGTAGGAGACTCGTTTAGTTCGAATTCCACGATTGATTTTCGTACTATTAATAAAACTGATGAAACAAGCGCAAATACTGTTACAGTTTCCAATAAACGTTTGATTAGAAAGTCACCTTTAGACATCGCATCACTTTGTTCCTCCACAACAAATAATACAGGCGATCAACCCAATCAATTTTCTCATGATGAGGATAGGAATAATTCAAATCGCAAACGTAAATATGACAATGTTCAAAGAGAGCAGCCACATGTTTGCTCTGAACCTTCTTGTAAGAGAAGGTTCACGCAAACGGGTGATTTAAAGAGACATGAACGCATTCACACTGGCGTAAAACCATTTGCTTGCGAAGAATGTGGACGAGTATTTTCTCGAGTAGATACTTTGAAGGAACATAAACGTACTCACACCGGTGAAAAACCTTACACGTGCAATTATTGTAATAAAAGTTTTAGTAAATCTGGTAATTTGCGACAACATCAACGTACCCATACAGGAGAACGTCGTTACATTTGTCAAGAACCCGGATGTAATAAAAGATTTATGTATTCAGGAGATTTGAAAAGACATAACCGTTCCCATACGGGGGATAACCCTTACGAATGTAAATATCCCGATTGCAACAAAAAATTTGCAAGGATGGATACTTTAAAAACACATCATCGAGTTCATATCGCAAAAGAAAAATCGGATTCCGAAAACGCAAAAAAGGAACAGGAATTAAAAATGCACCAATTTATAAATACGGCAAATCGACCATTTGCATGTGCAGAGGAAGGATGTGATAAAAGATTCATGCGCTCTGGAGATTTAAAAAGACATCAACGTGGGCATACCGGTGAAAGACCTTATCAATGTGATCACTCGGGATGCGTTATGAAATTCGGGCGGATGGATACATTAAAGTCACATAAACGTACTCATATTAGTAAGGAAGCAATTTGTAATGAACCTGGATGTCATAAAAAATTCACAAAGAAAAGCAACCTTCGTTCCCACCAACTTATTCACGTTGGAGAAAAAAGATTTATCTGTAAAGAAGCGGACTGTGATAAGAAATTTATGCGTTCTGGTGATTTAAAGAGACACGTTCGTGGACATACTGGTGAGAAACCTTACGTTTGCGAAGAATCTGGGTGTAATAAAAAGTTTGGTCGTTTGGACACTTTACGAACGCATCAACGTACTCATATTATGCCTAAAGAAATGTTTCATTAACGTTAAGAGGTTATGGATATTGAGATATCATCAGTGATTAATAAATTAAAAACAATATATGTTTATATACAGTTTATATAATATAATATAAAAATTATCTACATTTCGTTTATTTATATCATATTAATTCTATTATAAAAAAAAAAGAAGTTGAACATACTTTTTGTTCGTGTGTTTATAATTAATTTTCTTATCCAAAAAGCGATGATTTTATATTTTTAACAAATAACAATTTTTGCTGGTGTTGTTTAGAAACGTGTGAAGATAAAATTAATTTTTGCTGAAATATCAACCCAGAGCGAAGTGATCTGCACTGACAACTATGAGTTTATAACGATTTATTATCATTGATACAGATGAGTTGGTATACTCCTTGCTTTTATTACGAAATATCCATTCGATAATAAATGATCACGAAGATGGCTTATTAGTGTTAGTAAGTTTAACGATAAGCAACACAAAGTCGCAATATATTTTGACCATGAAGTAGTGGAGTAATTTCTTGAAATATACCTATATTCATATAATAATATTGCCTATACTCAATAAAGCTCTTTTATGATAATAATCGACAACAGTTTTTTTGGTAAATATTTCGTTTTACAAAGATGGAAAAAGTTTGCTTATAAATTTGGGTTTTTGGAAGTGATAATTTTCATGAAGTCTCGATCAAGATATGCGATGAAGGGATGATACTTGCGTCTTTAAGCTCACGCGTCCGAACAGAAAACGTGAAATTGATTACATTTGAAATTTGCGTAAACATTTCTTGGAATGTTGCGGATGGTATCCTTTGATCAAGGAATCGCTATAATTAAAGGGAAATTTGTGACCAAAAAACCTTGGACGTGAGGACAAATTCTTCGAAAGGTATCTATTTGAGGAGATTTCAGTTGTAACAATAAAGAAATGGCAGCATTGATTCAAAAAAGAATAAATTATGTCGTCAGTAGCCATATAATCCATGTTACTTTGATGAAGAATTAATGGATTGTAAATTTTATGAGCATTAAAACAAAGAGTGCTTCCTTGTTATATATGTATATTATTCCTTGCAGTGGTTTAATAACCGTTACAATTATCGGCCAAAATTAACTTTTAGACCAGTGCTATTGCAGATATTATTATGATTTATTCATTTTTGAAGTTAGGCATCTTAACATTTCATCCATAAATGTAATTAAAAAATAATAAATTCTTTCTTTATAAATGTAATAATTTGTTATTTATACCATGAATTTGCATGCTTTATTTTACAAAACATCCTCTTTATTTTCTAAAAAGATGGATTATCAAATTAATAATTACCAAGTATCAAAAATAAGAATTTAAATAAATCAAGATTTTAATAAATTTTTAATATTTTGTTAATATTTTTAATAAATATTATTCTTTAAATAATCTAACAGACAAATTTATTTACAAAATTAGTATTTTATTATAAATTTGTTATCAGGATTGTATATTTTATATATTTTTTAATTTATAAAAAAATTAAATATTAAGTTATAAAATTTTTTATTTTTAAATTATTTTTAATAGTTAAAAGTATTGATTATTAATTTTTATTGATTTAATATCTTTAAGTAAAATTATTTAGCAGATTTACTTATATCTAATCTATATTGTATTAAGTTTAGTAAAATAAATTACATTTTTTTATAATTATATTAATTTATAAATTTAATATTTTTACTTAAATTAATTATTAATTAAGTAAACTTAGTAAGTAGACCTAATCATTACTCAATATGAACTTTATTAAATTTAGACTAATATTTATAAAGAATTATTTGATAATGTATAAAGAATATTTTAAATAACTTTAATTAAAAACTCTTTTTTTATAATCTAAATATATTATTCTAATAGTTCTAAATTTTTATTAAAATTAAAGTAATATTTGTAAGATAAATTATATTTTTATAAAAATACAAACTTTTTAATTGTTTACTTTTATAAATAAAAAATTTTAGAGAATATTTTAAATATTTTGATCAAACTAAATATTTTTTAGCAATTTAAGTAAAGTTATATTAGCAGATTCAAAACTAAATTAAGATTAAATAGAATAATTTTATTTTTATAATAGTATTAAGATAAAAATTTTATTTTATTAAATACATTTTATTTGCAATTTATTTTAAATAAAGTATTTATAAAAGCAAATATTTTATAATATAATATATAATATATTTCAAGTAATAATCAAAAAAAAAAAGTTATATATTAAATATTATGACAAATTCTCTTACAATTTATTACTATTAAAGAGATAATAATTTCATTTTATTTATGCATTATTAAATCATTTATTATTAATAAAAATCATAAAATTTTAATTAGTTATAAAAATATAATAATAAATATTTTTTTTTATAATAAATTTAAGATTATTTTAAGTTATATTTAGTTAAATTAAAATTAATTCATTTTTTTAATTAAATCCTGTTATTTGAAACTAAAATTCTGTAATTTAGAAATATAAAAATAATTTAAATAAGTTTAAACCTAGATTAATTAATAACAGAAACTATGTAATTATTTTTGTTAAACTAAAACTAATTTAAAAAATAATATTTTTGATTAATGATGTTATTAAAATTTATTTTAATATTTAATTTAGAAAAAATTTTAAATTTTATAAAAATAACATTTTCTCAAATCTAAAATATGATTAACTTTATTAAGTTTAAGAAAACCTATTAAAGTTTAAATAAAAATATTAAATATAAATATAATTTAATATCAAATATATTAAAATTTAAAATTTAAAATTAATTTAAATAAGCATTTTTATCTTTGATTAAATATTAATTAAATTACAATTAATTGATTTCTGAAAAATTTAAATTAATTTTTCTTTGGATTTTATTTTTAATAATATATTTATATTTTTTTTTAGTGATAATTTTACTTTTAAATTTGAAATAAAGATTAGTTTTTGCAATTTTTTATTTTATTTTATTTTTTTGCTTTTAAAATAATACTGATATCATTTTTATTTTCTTTTTTTATTACTTTTTTCTTTAAAATAATATGAAATTAAAATTAATCTTTTTCTTTTGATCTTGATCTTGATTTTTAAAAATAATATAAATATTATTTTTATTTAAAGTAAATACATTATAGATATTAATATAAATAAATAAATACATTCATTTACTTTAAAATTTTATTATTTTTTCTAAATACTAAAATGACTTAAAATTAGAAATAATACTGATTTTACTAAAAAATAATTAAAAGTTAAAAGATATCTAATAAAAAATATTAATCTAAATATAAACTAATATAATAATTAAACCTACTATCTAAATGTATATGATTTTGTAAGTTAATTACAAAACTTTAAATTTTGCTTTAATTTATTACATTTTATTATTTTGAATATATAATTAAGAAAATTTCTGTAATCTTTTCTAGAAAAATACATAATATAATTCTATCATATAATATGATAATTTTCATTTTTAGTAAGTATAAAATTATTTATAATTTTATAATATTATATTTATTTATATGACTAAAAGAAATTCTAATAATATTATTATAAATTAATAATTAAATTTTTTAATATAAAAAAATATAAGTAAATTTGTTTATAAACTTTTATAATTTAAGGGATAGTTGCTAATTTCAAATAGAAATCATGATTTAATTAGTTAAATTAACTAAATCAATTTAGAATTTGTTACAATTAAAGATGGGCATCATAATTAAGAAGTTGCAACTCGGTAAGTTGCAACTTGAATTGCAACTTGGTTACAACTCCTTGTAAATTTATTTTAATATAAAAATTCATAATAGTTGCAACTCAAAGTGTTGCAACTTAAGTTGCAACTAGTTAAAAATTTTAAAAATAATTATAGAAACCATTTTTAGTTGATTCTTTTAAAAAACATGATTAATTAAATTCATTTTTTTATAGGATTTACCTCTGAATGATTTAACTATTAAAGGTATCACCAAATCTACAAAAGGTAGTAATTTAAATTAGTTAATTGATTTATTTAAAAAAAATTAACATTAAATTTTTTTATAGGATTTACCTTTAAACGATATAATGATTAAAGAATACAATATTTAGATAAATAATTAAAATTAGTTAATTTAATAAAATTTCTTTTAAAAAATCATTAAAATAAATTTTTTTGTAGAACTTACTTCTGAACAATCTAATAATTAATAAATCTGATATCTTTATTAAGTCTAGTAACATACCAAATCTTTTAAAATGAGGGTATAGTCAAAAGGGATATTATATGCAGTGCTAGATAATAGTAACATATTCATAAATTGATCTACAAATTATAAGGTTAATTTGCAAATCATCTACGAATAAATTTCATAAATCCATAATACTTAAAAATGATCTAAATATCTGATTTATCTAAATATATGTATTATTTGTACACAAATTGCTTCTTTAAATTTATTAACTTAAATAATATATCAAGTATAGAAGAAATAACGCATTAAGGTTTTAAAATAAATAAATATTATTATTTTTTAATGACATCAAGTTGTTAATTTTTTTTCAAATAAAGTATAATATAAAAAATAAAATAAATATCTATATAAAGAGTGATTTTGATCCCTTAGAAAAAGAAGGTTTATGGTCTATTATTTATAATTGAAAAATAGTATCAAATGCGTTATTGCAGAAGATATTACAATTTGGTTTGTTCATGTTTGGAATTTGTTCGGTTATGATCATCCAAATTTGATTTTTCCAGTTTTTCTATCATGGGATTTAGGTATCACTAGAAATTCCATTTGTTCTTGTATTTCTATTAGATAAATCTTAAAGGTTTAGTTTTAGATAACAAGTATATATATAATACTTCTTCACTAGTGTCAGCAATTGGACTTATTAGACAATTGGATCAATTAGATATTAGACTTATTGGACGTACCAATTAATTCAAATAATTAGACATTTGAACTCAGTTCAATTCCAACTAAAATAGAGTTAGGTGCTGAAACATATTTAATCCAGGCCAAAAGGTTTTAACTTTTATTATATAGCTATCAAAACTTATGCTGAAATCTGAAACTTATGCTTAAATGCTAAAACTTATATTAAAATTCAAAATTAGTAACAGCTGCAAAGATATCAAAACTATTGTAATTTGTAATTTATTAATTTATTAGTTAGTTAAACTTAAATTAAAACTTATAATTTATTGAATTTTTGATATGTTACCTAATATTTATTTAGTATAAATGATCAGCCAGTTCAGCCTTTCAGCCTATACAAAGAATAAAATCAGAAATGTAACATATTTTTTTTTTAAAGTTTTTTTTTTAAAAAAAAATTGTTCTTTGTATATTTTTAATAAAAGTAATATCAAAAGTTATTGAATTAGAACAGAAAAAAAAAGGTGGGAGACATATGCTATAATATGAAGTTTTTTTACAGAAGGTCTAAATCAAGGTAATGGTTATTGATCTGCAACTTATTCTGCTTATTTAACAACATGATTATGAGGAAAAGCATCAATACTAGAATGGCATATTTTAGTTGACTGCAATAAAATCAATCCAAATATTAAGGAAGCAGTAAGATATATTATAGAAGCACGTAAGAAGTCTTCAAAAAATGTAATTGGAAAGAATTGAAATGCAAATAAACAAAAAAACTTGGATGATTTTTTTGAATCTCAAAATTTATCTCAAGAGAAGAAAGCTAATATAAAAATATCACTTATTAAACTATTTATATGTTGTGAACTTTTCTGGCATCTTATTGAACGCCTATTTTTCATTAACTTTGTTAAACAATTATGCCTTTCATATGATCTGTCTAATAGAAAAACTCTTTCTGAAAGTTTGTTAGATAATGAAATTCTTTGTGTTAATACAAAAGTTTATCGATTACTTGAAAAAGAAAGTAATTTAACTTTGGGTAAGTATTAAGTAATTTTTATTTTTATTTTTAAATTTTAAATTTATTTTATTAATAATTATAATAATTTTATATATATATATGTAGCATGGACAGATCTAACAGGAAAATCTTTATGGAATTTTATACTTCATATCTTAGATGGAAAGGATATTCTTTGGTGTATACAGGATTTATCAGACTAAAGTCACATGAGTAAATATCTTACTGAATAAATTGTTGTTATTTTAAATGATATTGGAATTCAGAGATTTGCAGCGATAGTTACAGATGCTGGCTCAAATATTAATTTAGCAAGGCAAATTATTACTCAAAAATTTTCTCATATTATCAATATATGATGTATAGCTTATTGTCTTAATCTAATTACTAAAGACTTTATTAAACATACATTTGCAACTAGAATCTTAAACTAGTCAAATGTAATAACATCTTATTTTTAAAAAAGCCATTTACTTCATAAACTTCTTGAAGATAAGATTAAGGAAAAGAATATTAAAGGAGACATATATTCATACAAGATGGACTACAGTATATGAAATACTTCAATCAATCTGTCAGCTGGAAACATGTTTAAAAGAAGTAATAAATGAAAATCCAAATGTAATTACCAATGAAAGTATGAAAAATATTATAATACATAAAAGAGGATTTTTTTAAGATGTTCAAAATTTAGCAACTATTATTAAGCCAATAAAAGATTCAATTATTCAGTTAGAAAGGCAGAAAGCCAATCTTGCTGATTGTTTCTTTTCACTTACACAACTAGAAACTACTATAAAAAATATATCAAAATCAGATCATAAAATATTTTACCAGCATTGCATTAAATATTTTAATACTCATTTTAATGAATTTAATTTTGATGAACATTTGCTTGCATATTATTTGCATTCTGAATATCAAGGTAAGTGAATTTATTTTATTAATATATTGTTTTCAAATGAATTATTTATTTATAATAATAAAAAGTAATAATATAATTATTTAATAAATATTTTTTAAATACATCCAAAATTACTATAGGAGCTGAAATTATTAAAACTCAATTTATTCAGATATGTATTACAGCAGCAACAATTTGGCAACAAATAATGAATATACCTGAAATTTTAATTATGCTAAAAAAAAATAATTATAGTAAACAAAAGCTAGCAAGATGCTTATGTCACAATTATGTGATTATCAATTACATTAACCTTCTTATAATATATCCTATATCCATAATTTTAATGTGTCTCTGAAGTGGTGGAAAACTTGTTATATGGATTCACCATATCTTCAATTCCTTGCAATCAAATTGTTTTCAATTTCACCACATGCTGCAAGTTGTGAACATATTTGGTCAATTTGTGGTTGGATTCATGAAACATATTGTACAAGGCTATTAGTGAAAAATCTTGATACAATGATGCAGATTCATTCCTATTATATTGCTAACAATAAATCTGAATTAACATATCACGGAATAAGAAAACCTGAAGAAGAAATTTAACAAATTTTGAAAGATGCAGAGTTATATGAAGATGAAGAAGAAATAAATTTAAATGAAATTATATTTAATGACCAGCCTAATACTGATGATGATTTAGAAGTTATTGCTGAAGAACCTTTGGAAATTGAAAAAACTTTGGATTTATCAAGATTTTTGCAAAATGCTGTAAGAAATAATAGAGATAATAATCAGGAATTAGAAAGTAAAATGAATAAACAAATTAATTTGAAAGCTTTTAATAAAGAGGAGGATTATAATCTAGCAGAACTAGCAGCAATGTTTTTAAAATAAAACATTTTTATTTTATAATTTTTTTTTGTTTGTAATCAGAAATTTGAAAAATAAAATATAAATAAAATAAAGTAATTACTAATTGACATTTTGGACCTTTAGGATAATACGCATCCCTTGGCAAGATAAAAGATATATGTCAAAATGATCATATTTGACATCAGGGATCAAATAATTAGTAATTCCATTATCCAAGCCGCAAGTTCTAGAGAATACTGTAGTAAAGCCATGAAAAGAAATTTATAATATAAAAGAGTTTCGTTTTGCTCTTGGTTAATGATAGGATTTGAACATTTTGTTTTATTAGAACTATTTAATGTAAAGTTTATTAAAAATATAATAAAATAAATGTAAAATACATTTTATTTTTATGTTTTATTTTGGTTTAGAGTTTTGACTTTTGAATTCAATACTAATTTTTTAGACATTAGTTTTGGCATTTCAGATTTCGGCATTAGTTTCAGGTTTTGACATTAGTTTCGAGTTTTAGCATTAGTTTTGAGTTTTCAGCATTGGTTTCAGGTTTCAGTATCAGTTTCGGGTTTGAGTTTCAGCATATAGATGATAATTCTGAAACTAGATTTCGATTATTGCTGAATCTAAATATTTTGGTGTATATAGGTTTCAGCATCCAATACTAAACTGAAATCATTAACCAATAAAAAATAATTTAGCAAATGATATCATAAATTTTGTATAACTTTATTAAAGTTCCAAAATTTACAAATTTATTCAATTTATTTATTACCAATAATAAAATCTTTTTAGTAACCTGATAACTCTAAATATTTTATAAAAATATTTTTTAATTTCCATTTTACTTGTGGATAATAGCAGGATGTTGTATCTACTCAATATTATCAACAAAAATATCATATGTATCAGTAATGCTTACTAATTCATTATCTTGGTTTTATAATTCATTTTCAATCATTTTTATCCAATCTATTACTGTTTTTCTTTACTCATTAGCAGATGTTAATAGTTATGTATATATATTATTTATACTTTCATTATCATTTTCACCTATTTCATTATCAGTATCAGAACTTTTATTATCAGATATAATAAAATCATCATTTTACAATCTTGCAAAATCTACATTATCTGAAGTTCTTATTATAGTTGTTTGATATTGTTTTATATAATAATCTAACTCGTAAAACTGTTGTTGTCTTTGTATACTTACACAAATCTAGGCTAAACTTAATACTTTTTTTGCCTAAAATATCAAAAGAAAAAAATTGTAAACAACCTTGTAGTTAAATTATATAAATAAATATGTAATATATTGTACTTTTAATCAATTCCTCTATTTTGAGTGATACCATCCCGTTGTTGAAAATAGCCATTCTAATGAAGCTGTTGATACAGTAATTGAAAAAATTTGTTAGGTAATCCTATACAATTCTTTTGAATAACCTTTTGTAAAATTCCAATAATTTAAAATATTATTTTTAAATTGCTTAGAAATAAAATCAGTATAAGGATATTTTTTTGATCTATATTCTTCAAGTTCAGCTAGTAAAACTGTTGGTTTCTCCTTAAACATATGCAGTAATAATATAAAACCCATTTTTCTAAGTGAGAAAATAATAAATTTAATGCAGAATTAAATTTTATATTACATGTAGCAAAAATGATAGTAACAAAAGAAACTGTTCACAATTTCTTCATTATCACTCAATTTTTGAAAGAAGAGTAGTAGCTAATTCTTGATCTTTAAATGTTTTAAGTGTCATAACTACATTACTAAATTCATGAAGAACTTCATATAATTGTGAATTTTATCATTGAAGTTTGATGAGTATTACACAATATGAAATTAAAAAGGTTTTAATTTTTTAATAAAAATTCACCAATTATTATTTAAGATGCATTGTAAATGTTTTTTAGGAAAATCATAGCCATCAGAAATAATTTTTCATCTATTTTCATTGCAAGATTTTAAAAAAAATAAATTTTTAATTAAAAATAAAACATTAATCCAAAATTTTTATTGCATAATACATACACATAAAACTCCTTTTGTTTTTAAAAACTAGCAAAACAGTAATAGTATGAGTTTCATTGAATAGTAGCTAGGGTTACTAATGCAATATAAACTTTGTAAATAGCTGCTTGCTTATTTTGAAGTTATTCAAGCCATACTTTTAACTGAATAAAAGAAGTAATTAAACTAAATGCTTCTTCAGCAGCATCACTCAGACTTAATAATTCTTTGAATATATCTTCAATATATAAATTTAGCTGATGCGCGAAGCACAGTAAAGATATCTTGTCCTAATATTGGAGGTGCAATTGTTTTCTAAATTAATAAAAATAATAAATAATTCTAAACAATTTTATAAACCTAAAAATTAAAGATAACTTATTATTAACCTTGCAGCAACATTTCTGAAGCTGAGTCTGTAATTAATCCATTAATTTTAATATTCTTTTTTTCAAGCTCTTCAAATGATTTTTTCATTTCATTTATTATAATATCACCAGTATACCTTTTTCCACTAATGTTTTCAACTTTCCATATAATCATATTATATTCTAAAATAAATAAAACAGACCTTAATAAATTTTGATAAGAAACATTTTTCCAACTATCAAAACTAGCATAATCCTAAGGTTATTATTAATAGTATCTCTATAAGAAATCAAAATAAGAAAATGATACATTTTTAATAAAGTTTGTATACGTAATTAATGATTCCGTATTATTATTCTGTATGTTTTATAATGATTTATTTTTTTATAATTTTTTAGAAAATTGATATATACCGAATTATTAAGGAATTTGAAAAAACATATAAATTTTATATAACTAAAAAAATAAAAAATAACAATATTTAAACCAAAAAATTTTTTTTTCTTATAATTTGAATATATAGATATCAAATTAAAGCTTAGATATTATGATGTGATAATTTTAAAGGTTTATTACATCATTTTTGTCTAATAGATTAACTTGCTTCATTATGTTTATTGATCCACAAACAAGATTTAACATATTTTACAAATTTCTTATTTGATGATTGTCATTAACTAATAGATACTAATAGTTCTTTGTTTATTTTTCTGCAGAAGATGTCGTTTAAAATGATTTATTTTTTGAAATCTAATATATACGGAATTATTAAGAAATTTGAAATATCTTATAAATTTTACATAAAATAAAAAAAATAAAAATAACTAAGATAACAATATTATATATTTAATTAAATTTTTTAATGCAAGTAATATTAAAACTTTTTATGAAAAATATGTAAGAAATGAATAAGTGTAAAAACAAAAGTATCATAATATACAAGTAATTTAACATGAAGAAAAATCTTTGATAAACAGATTATGCAAATCAAAAAATTTTTTTCTTATATTTTGAATGTGCAAATACCAAATTAAGCTTGAAAATTACATTTGTGATGATTCTAAGATTTTTTCTATCATGTTTATCAATCTATAAATAAGATTTATTAGTGAAAAACATATAATCAGTTGACCTCTTAAGTTTTAATTGATGATAGTTTTGTTAGACCCAATTTTACTAACACAAATAATTTTCAATGCATTCTTGATAATAAGATATTCTATTTGAAGAAATTTTCCTTTTTGTTGATGCAGAAGATTTGTTTTCCTCATGTTCACTCCTAAAACACAAAAATTTTCTCACAAACATGCTGTTGATTCAAGATCCTTTAAATATCTTATATTTTCAGAATCCAAAATT